TCAGAAATTTACAGAAGTTAATTATTTGCCAGTCATTTTGGAGCAGTTTTAGACCTAGATCTTTCTAAATGCAGGTGAACTCACTAATGTACTTTTTTAGATGGTTAAATGGCTACTCGAATTAATTTAGCTTTTCTGTTGTGAACTTTTTAGACTTTCACACAAGCTGTTTTTCTGTTGGGTAATCACTGTCAGCATTATAAGTGATTACCCTATGTTTTTCATTGCGTAATCGCTACCAACATTATAAATGAGGAGCAGGGGTTTAGTCTCCTAGAGTGTATTCAGGTGCTAGGACTGTATGAATTTAGGTAGCAATTATGTGACTGCATAAAGAATTTGATACTCTCAGTTGTCCTTATTAGACCTTGAACAAACACTTAAACATATTCAGATTTTAGTTTAGAACTTCAGTGCTTGTTAAAGAAAGTTTATACTAATAAATCTATGCCTTTGCTTTAGTACAGCATTGAAAAACTTCCCTTAGCGATATGTAGGGTACCTTCAAACTTCTTGAGCCTGTAGGGTTTGCATTATTCATTTATGGAGTCTGATTTCAGTCAGAAAATTGCCTCTAGCAAGTATCAGGTTCTTAATGTGCTGTTTGTTAGCATTTTAACACACATTTAGTATGCGTGTATGTGTTCTCTCCCTGTGTCTACCAATATGCATGTGTATATACACAGTACAGCATAAATATGTCTCCTTGTAAACTGCCTAGTTACTTTATTTCATTTGTGCAGCATTGTTGTATTCAGTTGGCATTGTTGGAAATGGTTTGGTTCAGGCTGGAAACGGAATTAACCTTCTTCCCTGAAAACTAAGGCTTTAAGATAGAACCTTGTGCTGTCTCCCTCCTGTGCTCATAGGCAGCAAAACTGTACAAGAAACTCTTATGGCTGGAAGTGTTTGGCAAATGCATCAGTGAGCAACTGAAAACCTGGAAATTACTTGATCTTTCTGTGGCAAGTTTCTTGAATTTCAAGCTAAGATAATACAGAATTGCAAAACAGCAAACATGAACTGTCTGTACAGGTGAAAAAGGATTGTTTATGCATTTCCTACTGCTGCAGAGAACCCAGGCCCTTGTCTCCAGAGAAAATTAAGAAATTTCTAGTTACAAGTTCTGTATAGTGTTACAAGTACAGTGCTAATTAGAGCAATTCTTGTTTAGTTTTTCAGATCTGTCAAATTTACTTATTGTCTGATTGCCTTGTTATTGATAACAAATGGTTATAAAAGGGACAAACAATACACACAAGTGCTAAGAAAACTTTGAAGATATTTTTTTGTGATCTGCATGTGTGGAGGTTATCAGATCCCGCATTTGTAAGTTACAAATTACTGCCTTTGTAAGAGAAACAAATTAAACTTGATCCTGTAGGGGATGGCACCAAAACTTGCAGAAGAATTGTTCAGTAGCAAGCAAAATGGTGCAGAGCCTCCTTTATTTTATGATGTCACTGATTTTGCTGAAATCAGTTGCCCAGACCAGACTCACTTGGTGTGTCTGCATGCCAGAGAGACAAAGCTGGTGCTGTTGCTCAGCAGCTGTGCTCCCTGTTGATCCATTGCTCTGCCCATCACTGAATTCAGCGTTTTCAGCTGTGCCACTGTTGTCTCCAGTTCCCCCATGTGCCTGCTCCACCTTCTGAATTTCGTTTGGATTGTAGCAGGTTATGCCACATATCATGGTGTACTAGATACATGCCATGAATTCTCTTAATGCCCAAAATATGAGATAGTCAAATCGCATGTGTCTGGGGGAGATTTAGCAGAATTTTTCTGACGTTTACCAGTTTCTGAGGCTGTGTGTGAAGTGGAAGGTGTTTTAGCTAGATAGATCCTTCAGTCTCTCATGTTCTTTTTGTGATTCATGTTTTTGTATAGAAATATTTTTATTAAATGTTTGGCTTTGTATTTAAGGGTGGCAACCTTCAATTTTTCTTCTGGTTTCCTGTCAGAGTTTAAACAAGCTGCTCTTGTCTCCTGAGATCATTCTTTGACTGCTCACGTCACATGGAAGTGCTGACTGCTGTTCCATGTCTGGAACAGCTTGTGACTGTTTACTGGAAAAAAGCAGCAGCTACGCTGTAAAAATGTGCAGTGTAATATCTCTGAATAGCTCTGTTGTTGACATTTGTATAGAAAAATCACCTACTCAACTACAAATGCAAGAAGGTTCATTGTGCAAGACCAACACATACTAGTTGGATTGTTTATCTACTTTCCTAAATGTGGAAGGTTTGAACCTTTTCATATTACTCATAGACATCCAAATGAGGAATAAAAGCCAGGTCATTAGGAAATTCCAAACCTGCCTTAAAAAGAAAAAAAAAAAGTTCAGTTTATGCAGGCTTTTGAAAACTGCCTCTATTACATCTGCATTGAAAACTTCATTGTGCTTCACTGTAAATGTTTGAACCTTGCAGCTGAAATAGGCATGCATGCATGCACCCTGCCTTGACATATTGTAGCACTCAGATTCAAAACTGACAGTTCTCTGTTAGGCCTGTAAACTTGTGTGCAAAGGAGAAGCTAGGCCAGACAACCCAGAATGTATGTGCTGGATGAAATGAGAATACATGAAGCTACACTAAAATAGAGTTAGTATTGACATGTAGTGCAGCCACACAAGTATGAGGAATGCAGGAGAGAAGTAAAATGACTGCCTTGTTTAAAGAGAGTGATGTAGCAGCGTGTATTAAGCTGTAGTAAGTTCAAACTGAAGAAGTTTGCATGAATCTCTTATTTCTCTATCATTCTGTAACATCAAAGACATGAAATACTGAAATAGTTTGTGCTTATAGCAAGATTGTCCCCAGGGTGTTATAAAAAAGTATTATACTTGCTGTCAGGTCAGAGAATGGTATATGGGGAAAAAATATGCAAGTTACACTTCATTTAATGGTATCTTTGGCTCTCCGTATCTTTGTATGAGAAATGCAGGTCCTGAGAAAGAGAAGAATAAAAACCATCTAAGTTTAGAACAAATGACTTTTTGGAGAGGGGAAGCTTCACAGGCAAAATGTGACTGAGAACTTGACATTGAATAGTTGAAGATTAACACCAACTGTAAGAAGGAACTACTTTAACATACAGTTTGGACTTTTGCAGTTGCTGAAGTTGACAGCTTAGTTAATAAAATGCTGGGCATTAAGAAGCTTCATGCTCTCCTAAAAGCATTGAAACATTTTCGTTACCGTGTTTACAGAAGTAGGGCTTGTCATTCTCATGTACCCCATCACAAGACATTGTTTTCAGTTGCTGTGGACTTGGCTGAATTTTAACAACTTGAAGCTGTCAGAATCAGAAATTTTTATTTATTTTTATTTTTTTTTTTTTAGAAGCTTATTTAACCAGTTTGGTAGTGTTTGGGAAAAAACTTTAAAGCTCCAGCACATCTGTCCATAGAGCATTTTCACACTTCTGGCATAGATCATATATGTATATGATAACCATGGGTCAATGAATCGTCTCCTCTTACCTTTTCAAATAGTCTTAGAACACTCAATTCTGCCAGCTCAGGGATAAGGATGAGTCCAAGACACTTGTGTAGCTGTTTATGACAACTGAACTAAAAGCAGGGATGTGCTGCTGCTTTAGTGACTTCCAGGCTGATGACTGATCATACTGGGACAAGAGAGCTAGTAGAGCAGCTTACCTAAGTAATTGAGATTGAGCATGTGCAGAGACTGGGTCTTGAGGATAGCAAAAGGTGTGTTTCTGCTCCAGTATTTAAAATGCTCAGAACAGTTCTTTGAATGTGTGGTGCACTGATGACTACCTGAGGAAAATGCTGTCTCACAATGAGAAGACAGATGGGAGACTTTTTCAAAGCTGTGTCCATACTCACTGGGAATACAGGCAACTGCTTACTGCTGTTAGAGTCACCCAGAGAACTGTGTTCTTGCAGAGGGGACTCTGAGATAACATTTTGGGCAACTGAGTCTAAATATGCCCAAGCAATTAGAAGCAAAGAAGGCATTAGCAATCTTTAGCCCTTAGTCTTTTTGAAAACAAAAACCTCCAGCTAGTGTAAAATTACACTTTTCTTGAACACACATCGACTCCCAAACTATTTATGGTGGATAGCGGCAGAGGGAAGTGGCTGATGTGGTGACAGAAGCAAAAGCCCTGCACAAGAGTGGCATAAATAACCAAGTTCATTTCCTGAAGTACGAACAAAATTACTACTTAGATTTCAGAAACCAGTGTTGTGGAACTAAAAAGTAATGTGTAGTGATTTTCTTTCTCTTTTTAAATGGTCCTCAGTCTCATTTGCCTGTATGCTTTTTATAGCATAGTTTAGCCGAGATGAATGAGCATAATTTTGTTCCTTCATTTGGATCTTCTGTTTTATGAAAGGAAATGATTGGTCTCCTCCTTTAGGTGGTCACAGTAGGAACTTTACAATGGTGAGGACTGTTTAGTATGTTTGTGTTCTGGTTTTTCTTTTATGAACTCACCTTTAAAATCTACTTATAAATGTGAAATCAGATGTGGACTGATTATTCTGAATTCCTGAAGTTCATAAAACTCTCAAAAGTACTTAGCAGTAGCCATTGATTTAAGTTTTTAAAGTGAATACTATCTGAAGTACATGAGAATATGCTTTTGTTTAAAGGACAGTGGTTTCCAAATGCATCAATTTTCAATAGTGAAGAATTGCAGATTTTGTTCTCTGGCTGTAAGGAAAATGGCGTGTAGGGGTTGTGATGGTGGGTGGTTTGTTGTGGTTGTTTATTATTATTATTATTATTATTATTATTATTATTATTATTATTATTATTATTATTATTGTTTTTACTGCTGCATCATATTGTCTGCTTTGGGAATGATAGTTTTCCCACCCCCGGGTGGTGTTGGTTAAACTCTAGGTTTACCCAGAAGAGGTGTATAGCATGAAACAGATAAAGGGTTAAGAAGATTTTTTGGTACTACAGGTTTAGAATTGCTGTACTACAGGATTTATATAGGCTTCCCTCTTTCTGTTTTAGGTGAAATTGTGGTAAATGAAGTAAATTTTGTGAGAAAATGCATTGCAACTGATACAAGTCAGTATGACCTGTGGGGCAAACTGGTTTGCACTAACTTCAAGATTTCCTTCATTACGGATGACCCAATGCCACTACAGGTTTGTTATTACTCATGTTGCTACATCATGACAGCAAATGTGATGGGTAAAATGGATTGAATTAGAACACAATGAATCTGTCTCATATCTGATATAAATACGATGTCTTCTAAAAGAAAGAAGGGTAAAAGATGTGGTTCCAGTGTCTTGTTCTGAAGGTGTTGCTATTCCATTCCTTCATGAAGAGTATCAGAACAGTGCAAGTTTGGTGTGGAAGTACAGCCATCTGGTTTTGCCTTCATTTATATGGAGGCTTCATCAGGAAGTGGTTTTACAAAAGGCAAAGCAGAAATTGCCTTCTTCAAGGAGGAACGTGTTTTTATATGGCAGATGTTCCTGTGACTAGACAAGCATCATATCAGCAAAGCATTTAATGAGTCTAAGTTCCATTGGCATTACTGACAGCGGACAAAATAACCATGAAACGAGTTTTCATTTTAGATGAAGCAATGAGAACAGGAGAGAAACAAACCAAGCCTTTGTCAAAGCAGAACATGTGCCATTCAAACCCCCCTCAATCAGCTATGGAACAGCACAGCATACAGTGCTGTTTGGATTTCCAAGTTGTGAGCTGTATGGTATTTTCGGTAGAGTTTTCACTTTCATTTGGGGCTTTTAAAAGAACCACTCCATTAACTAGGCATGTGTAAAGCTCTAAAAGTAGGTAGGTACTTACTAAGTAAAGCTCAGTAGCTATGACCAAAGCTACTTAAAAATTAACTTTTAACATGAAGTAGCTGATAAACATGACTGAAAGCTGAATTACTGTTTGTTTGTTTAAATTCATTTGGTTACAGATTTTTTAATATTTTATATATATATTTTACACTTTGGTTTGTATTGAATTTCTACCAGCAGTTTTTGAGGCTTTACTAGCCTCAGTTCAGTGCAGGTCGTGGGGTTATTTTGCATACCCCACTGGGATTCCTGACCAGTTTGGTGTGCAATTCACCAGCACAAGAATGCTGTTTACACAACTTGTAACTGCCTGCAAATGGGCAAGGGTGGTACATGTCAGCAGAGTCTAGGCATGCCTGATTTTTGTCATAATTTCTTCAAAGTTGTGCTGTATATCTGGTTGTCAACTGAAGAACTGCAATTAATAGCTCTGAGTTCATATATTTCAGAAATTCCATTATAAAAACCTCCTCCTTGGTGAACATGATGTCCCACTAACGTGCATCGAGCAGATTGTCACAGGTATGTCAAAAATAGTTAAGTATAATGCAGGCTCCAAACTTAGTTCAAAGCTGTTAACTGCTTGTTAGGTTGTGCAGAATTGTTGATGCTTAAGGCTTTATGTAATTAATTTTCCCTGATTTGAAGAATTTGGTTTATCCAAAATTAGGATAGAAGCCTTAGATGAATAAAACTTGAGGTGCCGTGCAGGAGACATTTATTTGGGTTTTTATATTGGTTTTAAATTCAACTACAGTATTGAGTTAACAAGTGTTGTAGTGTAGACACTTGTTATAGCTGTACAAAATTTTGTTAGCAACATTTTAATATTCAAGAATCTGATTCTCTTCCACTTAAGTACACTAGATTGCAAGAAGCACATCACTTACACAATTCACACATAGCTGGAATATCTGGCAGTATAAGTGCTTGAGTTTTTAATTTTGCCTAGTTCTTAACAAGCTAGTAGCTAGTGGTCCTCAAAAATACACAGATCTGCAAATCACTATAGACCTCTTAATCTGAAAGAAATAACTTCTACTTATTTTGGAGAACCAGTTTTTGGTGGATACTTTAGGCTCACCTGTTAGAAAGAATATGTTAATATTGTAATTGAAGAGTTTCATGTAACTGATAATTTTTCAAGTCTTGATTATGGCATGGACTGTTAACTACTTGGTTTTCTGACTGTAGATAATTTAATCCTTTACTGATTAGTTTTCAGTGGCCAAAGTTATCCAATAATCTATTCCCACCCTGGTAGCTGGTTTTAATCACTGGGAAAAGATTCGTATCTATCTGAGGAAGCACATTCTGAAGAAACGCCTTTTCCTAAATGCAGAGGTATTAATTATGTCCTCTCTCACATGATACGTGTTGTTCCTAAATGGGAAAGGACTACAGACAGCTTTTACTTTGAAACTCAAGGGCTGCCAGATTGTAGATTACTCTTTTGTGCATGTTTTCCCAGACTCTCAAATAGCATGAGTACCTGTATTTTCATATAAGAATGGTAGAAGTTCTCTAGGAACCCTTTCTGTTTAGCTTTTCCAGGGAGAGTGCAGTGTTTCCTGCCACACACTTGAGATTATTCTTTGTTCCTCTGTTATGCAGGTTTACCCTAAATTTAGTGGAGCACAAGCTTTTACTAACAGGAATTAAGGAGAGGTTTTTACCCACACTGGAGAAGAGGCTGCTCAGTGGTTGTTATATTGAAGGTGAATTCTCAGAGGTGGCCTTTTAGGCCGCTTGTCTTGAGTTCAGTGGAAGTAGTTCAGTTTAACCCAAGATACCTGCAACCAGGCAGCTATGTTAGTTAGTCACTCAGATGGGGCTATGTGCCCCAGTTTTTCCAGTTAACACATATAAAATGTGTGTGGCTTCTGTGATGCTTACATTTTCTAACTTAACTTTCTCTGTTTGAAAAGGAGATACAGAGGTCAAGAGACGTAGGCTGTCTATGCAGGTCTAGACCAGCTAGCCATTTGCTATACTTACATTCTTGAGTTTTGTGTAAGAAATAGGGACTTAATCTCAGTCTTAACTCGACTTCATTTATACATGCAAGTAAAACAGAAAAATCAGTGTTTGTGTCAATTACTGTGCATCAGAAGGGCCCTGCAGCATACCCAGTTAACTGGCTGAGAGCTCTTGGAAATACTGCATATTCCCTGTTTGTGAAGTTCTTGAAAGACAGAAGTAATCTGAGCATACAGGAAACAGTAATTCAGCCACTTGTTTGAAAGGAGGTTGATCAACAGGAGGATCTATAGTTGTTTTTTTTCTACCTTAATATAAATATACTATTAAATGAAAAACTGCTGGTAACAGCATTACTGTATCTTTTTGAGCCAGTCTTGTGTTGTATGCTTACAAAACACAGCCCAATAACTTTGTCTTTTCTTTGCAGTGAATGACACCAAGAGGAAGCAGAAGGTCCTTGGTCCCAACCAGAAACTTAAATTTAATCCAACTGAATTAATAATTTATTGCAAAGACTTCCGAATTGTGAGATTTCGTTTTGATGAAGCAGGTCCTGAAAGCGCAAAAAAGGTACTATATCTTCTTATGAAACCTTGCTACATGCAATGACTAAAGGCAACAGCTGTGCTAATAACATTTTGGTTTATGTTTTGATAGAGAAGTAGGAGGGAAGAATTGCGAATTAATCACATTCTGCTAGGAGAATGTCTAGATCTTGAGTCAAAATGATTAGGTATAATGTGTAGTGTGATGTGTTAACTGTTTCTGTGCATGTAAGATAAACATTTCTTGTCATATCTGTTGTGCTTTTAAAAACTAATAATTTCCGAAACAAATCCTTTTAAAGACTGCATTGCAGCTGTGCAACAGATGGGTACATGTTTATGGAAAATGTTTGAAGCATTATACATTTTTCTGAAAGTCATAAGCTTAATTTACCCGCAGGTGAAGTGTACTATCTTATATGTGCCCTTTTTTGCTTCACAAGGCAAGTTCTCCAGAAGCTCTCCAATGACTGGTTTGTTTAATGCACATAAAACTATGTGCTCTTTCTCAACACTTTCTCAGAAAAGACTTGCATACCTCTGGACAAGTGGAATTACTTCTGTCTGTACATTACTAGAAATGTCATTCCTTCCCCAGTTCTAACACTTGCTATTGTAAATCTCAACAAAATCGTACAGTGTTATTTAACATGGTAAGATCTGGGTAAGTTTGTGTTAATTGGAGATGGTTAGTCTGTATAACATTAGCTCACCAGCTTCCTGGTTGTTCTGGGTCAGTGCTGTTGGTTATTTGAGTTACAGCTCCTCTGATCCCCATGGCACCAGGAGGGGGCCAGGCACGGCACAGCAGACATTTTGTAAGGAATGACCCAGTCTGCTTACAGAGCTTAAGAATTCCCCCTTCTCAGTAGGATAAAGTTTGAGCTTAACTCTGTAAGTCCTAAGAACCATCTGCCCAGACATAAATCTGTTTGCAGTTATCATCTGATAACTATAACTGAAGCAGTTCATCACTACTTCACCTTTTACCCTCTGGTAGAGGTCCATGGGCTGAAGCCAGGTAATAAAGCAGACTGTTCTTTCCTTGCTGCTTTTCTAGGTTCCCTCCTGCCTGCTGCCTTTACTGTTTATAACCTTTCACATTTGGCAGTCTTTCAGCAGTCAGTTCCCCTTTCACAGCTCCTCTGAAATCTCCCCGGAGCAGCCTGTCTACTGCAATATCTTTATAGCAACTGTTTCTAATTGGCTGTCACAGCTAAGAAGAATGATTAGCCTGGAGGAGGAAAGCATAAACTCAGCATCTCATTAACACTTTGTGCTGCATTTACTTAGGCAAGAGTGAAACCTTTTTCTGAAGGTGTTTGCTTCATACGTTTATAATTACATGGTCAAACATGATTTCTTTTGAAAGGAAGAATGGCTAGTTCTAGAGATCCAGAGGATCTGAATCTGTGTGGTTATAAAGATAGTGCTTATGGTGACCAAGAGTTGCTGTTATCCCATAGCAGAATGCACTCACCAAACGAGTGGAAAAAAAACCAAACTTGTACAGATTATCCTATCAGCTGTGTGGCTGCTGTTGCAGTTTCGATGTGTCAAGTAGGTTACTGCAGCTTTGTGGGGGTGTATCACAGAGCACACTTATGCTGAAGGAAAATAATGTTAACCTGATGTTTCCATAATAACACTGTTCTGCTAGCACTAAAGTACGAGTGTCTAAAACCGTGAAGTCCTTAGGTCAGGTTTTGTCTGTCTGGATTACGCTTAAATTATTTTGGGGTACTGGTGAACACAACTAGAATGTTGTATACTGTATGTAACTCCAGGATATTGACTGGAGTTAATTTGTTCTTTCTGGCATTTAAATGGAATGCCAGCACCACGCTCTTGAAAGATTTTATCTAGTTTCAGTTTCTGCCCTTCAGAGCAGTACGTATCAGGTTGTCCTGATGTCTAAAAGGAAGGTGGTCAGGCCTCCTAAGTTGTGATGGGAGGGAATCCCTGCTCTTCTCTTGGCTGAGTGTGCTAGCATAGTCTCCTGACCAAGAGTATATTGTAGTTTTTTCACTTGTTGTTTTTATAACAAGCAGAAGGGAAGGTGATGTTACAGAGAGCACCACAGTCTGTTCTGTAATGCAGGAGACCTGCATTTTAGTTCTTTATAGATCATAAATGGCTTCCTTTAACTTCACATGAACGCATGCAGCTATACAAATTGGAGCAGGGAGATTTCTAATTAAATGTTGTCCTAGTAGTGCAGAGGAGTATTGTCCTATGAATATAGCACTAATAGGTCAAAATGAAATAGCTACCTACTAAGATAGACACTTCAAACTATGGGTGTATAAATGTCTCTGACTTGTTGCTAGTTGCTAGCAAATGTTCTGTTTTGAGCAAAGATTAAAGAAATAAAAACTGTACACTTTCATTACTGTTTTAAAATGAGTTTTAAAATGTATGGAATAGTTTTGACAAATGCTAACTTTTTACAGTTTTTTTGTTTTGAGTTCCTTGAATGTAATGGAAATACTCAGCAGCAGTTACATAAATTGGTGTTCGCAGAGAAAACGTAACTTGTTCCTAAGGAAGTGTCTGTATTTGCTTAAGAGGTCATATGGGGGAATAAGCCCTATTAATTAAGCTTTCTTACCAGAACAGAGAGTATTCTGAGTCTCTTTCTGGTAGTGGGTGCAAAAAGAAGGATCCAAGTTTGAAGGCAGTCAGGCTTCAGATGTGGACAGCCTGATGCAATGGCATATAGGCATGATGCATGGGTGATAGTGGTAGAACTTTCACAGGTGTTTTTCACTGTCCTTAAGCAGAAACACATTGGAAAGAAGAATGTGTTTGGAAGAACACATTGAAATTTGAGGTGAATTAGTTTGTTTTGAGGTAAATTATTATGGAGAGGCTTAAAAATCAGTTCTGTTGGAAAAATACCTTCGACATTAGTTGCAGCCAATACATGCTGATAAAATAATGTCTCAAAGTTAATCAGTCAGGTATATTTTTTTTCCTTGTTTTTATTAATGGATATTTGGGAGGCAAGAGTTAAGGAATAACAGAGGGAATGGAAACTTGCTCTCATCATTACTTAGCAGTTTAATTCTGTTTTGTCTCTGAAATAAAGCTATAGAGTCTCCAAAGGAAGGAAAGCCAGATGGGTGTGGGAGGAAGTGGAAAATGGTATTCTTCCAGTGAGTTCATAGGCCAGGTAGCCTGGCTTAGGGAAGGAGGTGAAGTGCAGGGCTGTGCTAACTTAGCGCATCTTAAATATGACTGTTCAGAACAATATTTTGAAGCTCTTGGCCTATGTGAAAATCCCTGTTGGAGAAGAGGAGGCCTTGCCCTGAAAGTACAACTTTTTTTTCTCGGACAGGGGTTGAACAGGGGACACTGACACAGGGAAATGGCCTTTGTACTATGAAATAATTACAGCCATTGTGTTTTCTGCTTCTAATAAATGAACTTTCCAACAAGCAGCCTATTCTCTTGTTATTTGACTGAGCCTAAATATCTTCAGCTTTACACAATTGCAAATTGGCAAGAATACCAAACATTTTTTAGTTTGATATGAGAACATTTCCTGTAAAACGTGTTTGTCTTCTAGTTTAAGAGCTTTCTACTTACGGTGATAATCTGCTGCGATCTGTGGAATGTGCTTGTCTTTTGAAAGTTTCAGACAATAAAACTACTATACAGATTTAGTGAGTAATAAACTGAAAATCAGTATGTCTTTAATACTTGTGTAGTGTATATATGAGTGGAATTTTGTCTAAAATGGAGAAAAGAGGACAGTAGCAGAGTAATTATATAATATTTTTTTTTTAGTAACAGAAATAGAGATGTTGTACCTGTATTGTAATCTACAGGTGGATTGTTCCAGCCATGCAATACCTGGTGTTGGGTAATGTTTGCACTGTGGAACACGCCTAGGAGCGTTTTTCAGCTGCTGGTCTCATGCCTTTTGGGAACTGACTGCTTACCATTCTCAATCCAATTTTACTCCTCAGCACAACACACACATACTCTCAACTCAAGCAAATGACATAGATTTCAGCTGCTGCTTTTGGAAATAGGTTATACTGTATTTCTATTGTGCTATTTGGTAGCACAACAGAATTTTTTAACATCTTGTGGTTCATCTTCAAGCCTTGAGAGTAGATCAGTGTAGTAAAAGGCTTTCATCCTTCACTCCCACAAATGAAGGTGAGGAGTAACTCTGCTACTCTAGTGAAAAGTTCCATAGAAAAATTGAAGTCAAAATGTGTATGTACACAGATTTCCATTTTGTTCCCTTGTGGATGGTAGGCAGAAGTAGTCTGTTAGAAGCAGTGAGTATTTTGGAGTAGCTGGCTTACAGTGCACAGTGCACTGAAATCACAAGGTGTAGTAAAATGTGCATAGCTTCCAATTACTCCATGGTACTTATGACAAGTTTTACCAGATCTTGGAACTGAGCTTATAACTGTTCATTTGAGAAGCCATTCTAGACTATTTCCCAGTGATAGATTTACTGTTTGAGTTTTCTGGGGTGTGTTGTCCCGCCCCTGGAAATGTCCTGTCCTCTCTTTTCCTTTGTACTTTCATTGTAGAACTGAAAGTGGGAGAAAAGTTAAAGCAACTGTTCTTCTAAGACTCAGTAGGACTTTTTTTGTTGGGGAGTGCTTGTGAAAAACCCCTTTCAACTCAAATGAGTCCACAGTCATCACTGGGCTTATAAATAGTGAGGAATGTCCACATCAAAGCCAAAGTAAATAAAAATATGGCAAAACTTCCATAATGCCATATATGTTGTATACAAGCTAGCAAAAGTGCAGTAACTTTATCCATGCAGAACTTGGCCTAAATGAGCTCTCAGCTTTTTTCGCTGTGGTACAGTGCTGCCAGTGGTAGTGTTCCTTCAGCTGTGTGTCATGCAAGTCTTCCTTTTATGTCCGTGTCAACAAGAAAACTTTCCTTTGCTGACAGACAATAATTTTGTCTAAAAAAATAAATACCCCAAACTGCTCAGCAGTGAATAAACGGTGTCAGCCTGTTGCCAAGTATAAAAAGGCAGAGAGTTGAAGGGAAGAAAAAAACTGGAAAGGAAAAAATGTAGGAGGTGCTGATGTGAACTTGTGCTGTGGCTTTGTCCCTGATTAAAAACTTTATCACATGGAATTTCTGCATCTGAACAAGTAGAATAGGATTTTGCGTTTTATAACCTCCTTTTTATCAAACACTTCCTTTAGAGATAGGGCAGGTGTATTGTAGTAAGAATGGAAAGTCCTGGCAGTTTGAGAATAAGTGCCAATCTCTACTTGAAAGTTGGGGATTGTTTTTTTCTCCCCATATTTGAGTCTTTTAGATACTATAGGTATTTTTTTGTCAGATCTTTTGCGTTTGTTAGTCAATATCCACAGTTAAAGAGACAAAGGTTAGCAAATTTGACTGTATTTGAAGTATAGTATCTAATCCTAAACCATGTGCTGCACTCTTAATAATCTTAGGATTCTTATGAAAATGAGCAATTTATATGGGTAGAAAGCCAGATGCTTGTGTGATGCTGGCCCTGAGACCACTGCAAAGAATACAAAGACTTAGGCAAGACTCTTCCTTGTGTCGCACATTAATCTCTGCTGTTCTGAGGCTGCATCTCTCTGAATTTCTCTTCCCAGGGCAGGGCTTGTGACTCAGCCTGGTTAAACCTGATTAATGCATCAGATTGCCAGAGACGGTGTTGGAGCTTGCTGTAAGCCTGTAGGCATCTGGAAATTAGGGATGGGTTTCTTTTTGTGGATGAAATCCAGTCATGTGGGACAGAACCTACAAGGGCTAGGCCAAAATGTGACAAAGCTGACGTCTTCCTACTCCCAGAAAGTTTGGCGGATGTTTCAGTTCTCCAGATCAGCTGGGGACTTGGAAGGGGTTGATTACTGGCATGTTTAATTGACTGTAGATCCTCCACACTTGACGAAAGGAACTCTGAAACTCGCCTTCTTTTGAAATTGAACATTGATAGAGAATCTTTAGCTTGTCATTCAGCTGACAAACAGACTACAACTGTATAATATCAAGAAAACGTTTCCCACTGTGAATAACTCATTTCCAAGTAACTTTGGGGAAATGCTGTTTGTTATTACCAAACAAATTTCATTTATGTTCATCAATGCCCATCATAATTTTGGAACAGAACTTAATGAGATGCAGGATTGACATAGGTCCTGGAAGCCTTCCTGAGAACAGCCAGCCTCTTCTTGTCCCTTCCCAGGACAGGAGTTTTTGAAGGCTGAGTTTTGGTAGCACACACTGGTAACCCTGATGCCTATATGGAGCAATGGGTGCAAAAGATTCAAAACCAATAATTAGATACAAATTTTGGTTAAACATGATACTTTAGGGAAGAACCGACAGGGCTTTTGTAAATGGAAGTTGCACTTCAAAAACCTCTTGGTTCAGCTGACAACTTTGTAGAAGTGCTATCTGTCTAATGTTGTTGAATACTGATACCAGATGTTAGTTCAGGAAGTGCTTGAACTCTGATGGCCCACTGAAAAACATTCTGGTAAAATGTCATTATATGCTTTCTCTGTTTTTTGCCCTCTGAGGGTAAAAAATTGCTCAGGGACTAAGCATCAGTTGCTGGCCGCTGTCAGGAAGAGTGCTAAGGTGGGCCTTCTGAACCGATTCAGTATGGTTGTTCTTAAGTACTTTTAATTAAAAATAAAGAAAAATTATGAAAGGATAAATTACAGATGAGGTTTTGCTGCACTGTGCTCACCACCTGTGTGTTGTGAGCCTTTCTTTTTCTGCTCTCCCCCTTATTTCTCTATGCAGCTGGGCAGGCACGCACAGTAGCTCCAAGTCCTTGCTTGTCTCAGCTGATACAGAATCATGTTTAGGGATGCCTGTTAACAGTCTGACCTTTCTTGCAAAAACTTGGTCCACCCTCATCAGTTAATCACTCTTGTTAGATGGTCATGAACTTGCCTACTATGACTACACTAATGGTGTCTTGACAAATATGAGTATGCTTAACTGTAGAATTCACTCCTCAAATAAAATACAGAAATAAAGCATCAGAAGACTGATTTTTAATGTTTATTTTGCATATTTCATGCTGTCATAATTAAGGACAGTAATTTTTATGTCTGTAAATAACAGGAATGAATACTTCTGTCCTAGGTGTGCCTTGCAATAGCCCATTATTCTCAACCAACAGATCTTCAGCTTCTCTTTGCATTTGAGTATGTTGGAGAAATATATCATAACCCAGGTAAGTATGAAAGAATTTTGATAATATTTTTCTTATATCATGATACGTAACTTAGTGAGACTTTCATCTAGAAGCAGTGGCAAAAAGCACGTGAGGCTTTCTCCAGGGGTAATAAAATTGGCTTGTCCTGCACCCAACCTCTTACTTCTGGTTATAAGTCACTCACTGTGATAGACGTTAATGACCAAATTCAAAAGAAATGTCTTTCCTGCCTGAAACAAAACCAAACTACCTATGTCAGCACTTATATCAGCATGAATACTCATATTTCTCAATTCACGCTTCAATCCTCCTATTGTATGTCTATATTGGTACTCTAGGTACCTAGCTAATCTCCCATCAGGCAGGCTGTTCACCTGCCCTTCTTTTGGGAATAAGTTTCTCTTCTGGTGGTATTGCAGGAGGATTTGTGCAACTTGGGACTCCATACCTTCTTTCCTAGAGGCTTACTAGGCAGTTCTTACCACTCAAAACCTCCACCACCCCTGCTGAGTTGGAGCACACCCTCTCTACTCAAGGCCAATCTCCAACTGAACCTTGTCAGTTAGGTAAGCGTGAAAAAGATGCCTTTGGAACTTGATTTCTAGTGTAATGCTGTGCGGTCACTGCTTAGTGTTCCCCAGCCAATACACAGCTGAAAACCATCAATTCTAGTGTAACAAGCCTCCAAATAGTGTAAGTGCCATTGATGGAGTTCTGTGGTGCTGAAATACTTCCTCAGCAGCTGGCATTAGAAGTGGCTCATCTGCCTGTTACAAAATTTGAGTGTTGTGGAATTATGAGATCAGGCCTTCAAATTTGCACAGAAATGCATGTTTTTCATGCAGGTGCCTACACGACTGCCCTGTGCATGTGGCTGTGTTGCACACATAATTACTTATACTATTTCTTACCTGATAGAACTTGGGCGGTTATCAAGGTCCATATAATTTAGCGTTACAGAGTACTAGGAAGGAAGCCCATCTGCAAATGAAATTATAATAAAATGTGAAAGTGGAGTGTGAACAGAACATTAGCCTGTCACGAAGCTGCCTTTACCCTGTCCTTAAAATACCATTTGCTGTATGGAAAAGTATCTAGTGGAAGAATGACATAAGGTGGGTAAAAAACACTGTTCCTCTGGAGCAGCAGACTGGAATGGCAAAAGATAGTTGTTCTGCTGTGCTGTGGTTGCTGGAGAAAAGAATTTGAAATACTTTTGGTTTGACTTGTGTTTTTTTTGTGTTGTTGTTAACCCTGGTGTTTGTAGCATAGACCTCTGGCTCAGCTCTTACAATTCCAGCACTGCTTTTTTGACTCTATCCCTGCTAGTCCCAGTAGAGTAAAAGTTGAAATACTTTATGCTTCTCGAGGAGCAGAAAGAGCCTGTATTGCTCTGGTGTGTATGTACATCATTTTTTTCCAGGCTGTATTTTATAATTGTATACCCTGCCACTGAGCAGTGAAATTACAACATTTTGGGGCAGTTATCAAATTTCTCTGTATGCTGTCTTTGAACAACTACTTCAGTTTGACTTCAGGTTTCTTCTGAAAAACACAGTAGTCTGAGTACTGGTGCAAGCATTAGGTTGATACAGAAAGTAGAAACTACACCATCACTGAGGTGACAGTAGAGCCATAAAGCCATGTTCTGCTTTGTTTGGTCAGGCACTTACATCTGTACAGGCTCTTGCTGAAGCTTGGAGCTTTCATGGGAGGTAGTACGGTTGAGTCTCAGTTTATTTCACTCTTATCTGAAACTTACTTCCAAGTGTCAAGTTACAAGCTACCTCCTTGGCACATAAAGAATGGCCAGCAAGGGAAACCCTTCAGTATTAGCAACAGACTATAGAATGTTCTTGGGCCTTAGCCACAAAATGGTAGGCCATCTTTCTGTGTGGATAAATACATATATATAAATATATATATGTATGTATATTTCTAAACCCGCATATATATTTTAACCTGGCCTTCCAATGATTTTACTTGGTGTTAATACAGCATTCCTTTAAAGCTGTTGATATGGTACAATTTTTATTTTGCTTTCCTCACAAGGTCCCTCATTACAGGTTAGCCTATAAAGGGTTTATGTTTTTAAAACCTTGCTAATTTTGGCATACTGAAGAGAGAAATTCTGTGACTGAAGATACCAGTTCTCGAGTGTATGTTTCGCCCTCTATCAAGCAGCACAACATACCAGTTTTATGTTGCTTCCCTGTTGGAAGTGCAGGAAAAAGCCTTATATCTTCATGTATCACCAAGTCTCATTCAATCACTGATCTGTTGTACACAAGTAGGTAACAGTAGTCCTGACGCTGGTGGCTCATTCTTGTCAGTAGGAAGGTGAAGAGTTTGATAATTTCTTTTTCTCTTTGTTTATAATGCGCACTGATGAATTTTCTTTTCCTAGCCAAGAAGGTGAATGGAATAGATCCAGGAGGTGGTGGTGCCAGTGGTCAGCAGACACCTTTGTTTGAAACTTACTCTGACTGGGATAGAGAAATCAAAAGGACAGGTGCATCGGAGTGGAGAGTTTGTTCAGTCAATGAAGGTTATATGATATCTACTTGGTAAGTTTCTCTTATGACACAAGTAGAAGAAAAGAAGGCAATTACACTGTCTTTTCCTGTCTCCCCTACCAAACCTTACATTCTACCTAACTGTGCACTTCACCCCTTGAATGTGCCGCTTTCTGGAGAGGCCCTTAGTTGGAATATCCTTCTTACTTGCAGTATCATCATTGAAGGAAATGGCCTGTTTTGGCATCTGTTGCTTTCACGCTTTTGTACTTCCCTCTGAAGCATGTACATTTCTGAACAAGTAGATCTGAGCTGTACCAATGCTATGTAAGATCATGCAGACACATGGGACAGCCAGTTAGCACTGTGGCATTAGGGGCTGGGGTGTTACAGTTTAACAGAGTTGGTAAGACAGCATTGCCACAAGAGAAAAACTGGTAAAATACATAGGGAAAAGTAACCTGTTGTATCCTGTTTTTTCCTCAAGCCTTCCAGAATATTTTGTGGTTCCATCTTCCTTAGCAGATCAAGACCTTAAGCTATACTCCTACTCTTTTATTGGGAGACGAATGCCAGTAAGTGTAGTTTTTATTCTGTTACTCTTCTTGGTTGATGTACAGTATTGTCTTGCATGTCTGCCAGTTAACACAGCTTTATGTGTAGTGTTAAGAAAACTATGTCTATGGAATAACACTAACCTGCATTGTTTTGTTATTTCTTTTCTGTTTTTTTCCCCATATTAGTTATGGTCCTGGAATCACCCTAATGGGAGTGCCCTCGTTAGGATGGCCAACATTAAAGATGTCTTACAACAAAGAAGAATTGATCAAAGGTAATAGTTATGTTATTCTTTAATCAGATGTGTAACAACACAAGTGGTCACTGTAACACCCAACAGCAATTAGTAATTGAGGGGGTACTTGCTTCATAATATTGTAGTGCATTAGCTTTGAGAAACTTCTCTGAATATAGCTCTGACAGAATTCCTGTTTAAGTCCTGCCACGTCAGTGTCAAATCCTGTGTAATTTTTGAAATTGGAAGGGATATTTATTTTTTAGGCAGCTGGTCATTTAAGTGACAGAATTTACTGATAAAAGGGTGAGACAGTCTTTTCTATTGATGTTACTGTAGTACAACTTAGGTTGGTGCAGACTTTCTGATAAGGGCTGGAGCACCTCCCATATAAACACAGGCTGAGAAATTTAGAGCTGTTCAGCCTGGAGAAGAGGAGCTGTGTGGAGACCTCATAGCAGCCTTCCAGTATCTGAAGGGGGGCCTAAAGGGTTGTTGGAGAGGGACTCTTCATCAGGGGCTGTAGCGATAGCACAAGGGGGAATGGGTTAAAACTTAAACAGAGGAAGTTCAGGTTGTATATAAGGAAGAAGTTCTTTACTGTGAGGGTGGTGAGGCACTGGAACAGATTGCCAAAAAAAGTGGTAAATGCTCCATCCCTGGCAGTGTTCAAGGTCAAGTTAGACAGTCTTGGGTGACATGGTTTAGTGTGAGGTGTCCCTGCCTATGGCAGGGGGTTGGAACTGGATGTTGTTAAGGTACTTTCCAACCCAAACCATTCTGTGATTCTAAGATACAGTAGAAAATATTCAGTTCATTTTTGGCATTGGGAAATACGGTTTTATAGATTTAGTGCCACAAAGCACAGAGTATTTCTGGGAGATATTAGTCATTCACTGTCCTTGATGAAAGATCTAGAACCTTTCATAGTAGTGTACTAACTGGGTATTCTTTGTCCTTTAGTTTAATTTGCTGGAGAAAAGAGTTTGAAATACTTTTGGTTTGACTTGGTTTTTTTTTTTTTGTTGTTGTTGTTGTTAACCCCGGTCCTTTAGTTTAATTTGTAGGATGACTTTTTGTAGCGGTACAAATGCTTTCATTGTGTGTGTTAGGCTGGAACAATGAGTTTATTTGAAGCCCTATCAGATTTTGTGGCTTTATAAACTTTATACTGTTCTGTTTCTATAGCATACCTAAGTCTTACTAAAAATTGTGGAAAATTAAAACTTAAATAGAGCTATTTAACTGAGTCAGCATCAGATTTTCATTTCCCAAACATGTTGTTTTAATGACCCAGCATTTCCATTTTTTTGTTCTATAAGTAGCAGATACCAAAAATATGTGAGTCAAAAGCTTTGTGGCAGGAGCAATGTACCTCCTGAATGTAAACTAGAAGATAAATCAGGTGCATGTTTTATGTGGTTTCAGTTGTTTGCAGCTAAAGACTGTGGCATATTTCTTGGAAGATGGTTTGTTTCCTCTCCAATACAAAATGGCTGATTCTTTTTTCTTACTTAGGATTTGTAATGCAATAACTCGAAGCCATCCCCTTAGAAGTGACGTTTATAAATCTGATCTGGACAAGAGTCTCCCCAACATCCAGGAAATCCAGGCTGCACATGTCAAACTCAAACAGCTGTGTGTTAATGGTATGCAGGACTGTCCTCCTTTCATGATGGTTCTTTTCCTGAAATACAATGAATTCTAATAGGTCTGGCTCACAGGAATGGATGTTTGAAGTTATTCTGCAATGTAATTATTTTCCTTGTTGCAGAGCCCTTTGAAGAAACTGAAGAGAAGTGGCTATCCTCACTGGAAAATACTCACTGGTTAGAGTATATTAGGTTTGTACCCTTAATAGATTGATGATGGTTAACAAGATGTGAAAAACTTTCACCAGTGTAAATAAGTAGTGAATCAGTTGAAGGATTCTCTGAGTTAACATGTGAGTGTGGTGAATTCAGATATCCCAGATTTTTTTTTCCTTTAGAGTGTGACTCTGTTGTACTAACTGTTGTATCACTTTCCTTTTCTGTCTAGATCCTTTCTTAAACATTCTGCTGAGCTTGTATATATGATGGAGTGCAAGCATGTTTCTGTAGTTCTACAAGGTAACACAACCATGGCATGCTGTAATTGTTTGCATTAGTACAATAATGTAGATAAACACGCTAAGCATCACTTCTAAGTGCTTTAGGCGTTTGAGAAACTAGAAAGGAAACGAGTGTTGTTATGCATCTGAACTATAGTATAGTCCATAACATCAAAGGAATGTGTCATTTCATATTTTTTAGGTCTGATAATGGTATGATAGAATCAAAACTTTAGGATGAACTTTTGTTCTCTGTTAATTGGGCTCATGCTCCCTGCATAAGCAGTATCAGTTTCACTCAGAGGACCTATATACAGGAGTATTTCTCTGAGAGTGGCTGCTGTTGGGTAAGTGTAAACCTGTTCCAGAAGAGGCTTCCTCCTGTGGTGATCAGAAAACTGTGATTTCTGTCATTTTCACAAGAGGCGCTCAGCTGGTGTCGCTCACTCTGCCCATAGAATGGCCTTCTAAAACCTGCTTCAGGGGGGGAAATCTGATGACAGTTTCCAGCAACGTGAGCACCCTCCTTGTCAGTGCATCTTGGTTTAAGTACCAGGAATTTGGTGGGGTTTTTGTTCCTGATGAAAGCACTGCTGTGCTGGATGCTGCAGGAACCATTACAGCAGCACTAAGCATGTTTTGAAAGAAATTCAAAGAAAAACGCTGGAACTAGTTGCCACTTTTTGCTCTTTGAGATCTAATTGTGTGTACATGCATCTATACCTTATGTATTTCATGCACTGTGTATGTTATTTGCAGAGGAAGAGGGCCGGGACCTGAGCTGTCTTGCTGCTTCACTCATTCAAGTCATGTTGGATCCCTATTTTCGAACAATTGTTGGATTTCAAAGCCTAATCCAGAAGGAATGGGTCATGGCAGGGTATCAGTTTTTAGACAGGTGTAACCACTTAAAGAGATCTGACAAAGAGGTAAAAAGGAATTGTGTTTGTATGTGATAACAGTACCTGGTTAATACTGGCCTGAACGTTTATTTGTGCAAAAAGCTAAAGTAAAAGTATTTTTTAATGATTTCAAATCTCATGAAACTGATGTCAGAGAAAACGAGTCTTTGTTCAGGATAGAGATCTATTATCTTTATCCACTGTAGCCAAGTAAGACTCAACACAGCATCCAGTGTTGCTGGGTTTTTATATTTTCAGTGTTACTTGTGAAGAGGTCCCACTGTTACAAATGCTAGCACAGCATTTCAGATTGAAATAGAAGGGGGTAAGGAGTGGGATTGGGATTGGAGGTGGTGGTTTGCTTTGTTTTACCAAGCAGAGGAATAGAGGGTAGCACCATGCTTGATTTTCAGCATTTCCAGCTAATCTTATTTGGCTTCTTCATTGCAAAGGAGAGGCTTGTAATTGCAATTGGAAGACTAGAGTAGGTCAGGTCAGCAGCCTTCTTCAGGAACAGTGCCCAAGAGGAAAAATCCAAAGAGAGTAAAAAAGATAAGCGGTATCCCCAGAGAGTGGAGCCAACAGATAGACTGAGGTCACAGCACTGAGCAGAGGAAAAAATGAAGGGATGAAGAAACTGAAATAGCAAGGGGGGGGGAAGGTAATGAGGAAGCAGGTGTTTTGACCCTAGGAAAGGATATACAGGAGAGTGAAATGGGGAAGAGGAGAATGTATCTAAAGCTTCATATAAATGATAGCTTAGGCTTCTGCCATTCATGGGCCACAGTGGAAAGAGCTAGAAAGTGTAGTAAGAAATTAACGTGGTTGAATCGTAAGCTCTCCACTCATGTCAAACAAGAAGGAAGTATATACATTGAGTAAGGAACTGACAGGCTTCTTGGAGGCTTCTTGTTGGAAGGTAACCCTGAGGAAGCCAGATGACATAGTTGCTTGTGAAAGTGGCTAAACAGAAATACAGGGTATTACAGGTGCATAAAATCCTAAAAAATGCAAGACTCCACTAGTTTACTGTGTTGAGGAATGTACCAGAGGAATAGCTAAATACCCTAATGGAGCACTAACTGCAGAGAAGTCAATGTGACTTGGGAAAAGCTTCAGCCAAATCTAACAGTTCTCTCTTCTCTTTTCCCAGTCTCCTTTGTTCTTGATGTTTCTGGACTGCGTTTGGCAGCTGCTAGAACAATACCCAGCAGCCTTTGAGTTTTCCGAAGTTTACTTGACTGTACTGTACGACAGCGCACGTGTATCACTGTTTGGCACTTTCCTCTTCAACTGCCCTCATCAGCGAGTAAAGGAGAGCACTGTGAGTAGGAAGCATTGCACCTGCTTTTGAATCAGGGGACTTCAGCATGTCCCTCTGGAAGTAACATCCCCTCTAACTGCTATTCCTGTGCCTTTTCCAAAATGTCAGACTGCTCGGGGCAGAATACTCAGCTCCACAGGTGAATATGCTCAGAGTGAACTTTCAGGTGATCTTTGCATAGACTAATGCATAGACTAACTATTGAAGAGGAAAGTCTGCAGAAGTTTTTTACTCTTTACTGGAAAAGCATGGTTGCAGTACATCATTATTTGTACTCCCCGAGGAAACAGATTTGTGTCTGGGACTGATGAAGTAGAACGATACGCAATAAATAGCATTTCATGCTTCAGGCAGACTTTGAAACCTCTTGACATAATTGTTTCAGTGGTTGAAAAAGACTGTGTGAAGCTCAAATAATAATGCACATTGAAGGTGTGTGGAAAACTGAACACTTTGTTTTGAAAACTGCAGTTTATCAAGCTGCATGTAGAAAACATTTGATGGCTGATAAAATGAAAACTTAATTTATTCACTGTTTTCCCTTGAGAGTTGTAAGTAGCTGCCTTACAAAGAAATAGAGCACTGGGGGGCTGCTAGTGTTTGTCTCAAAACAAGAGTTTGTGTGGTTCAGAGTAAATAAACAATTAAGTATCAGTGAAAAGTAAATTGTGCTCAGTGAGCATTAGTCCTGCCTCTGCATTGCTCAAATGAAACCCAGGGTACAGCCCTTTTCTCCAGCAGCCACCTCTACATTATATCCCTGCTCTTCTTTGCCCAGTAATTATGCCCTGCTTTGTAATGAAGATCTGTGAATAAGCCTGTTTTCTTTGATTTTTAACACGCCTGAATGTTAACTTCTTGCAGGAGTTTGCCATAAGCAAGAATATTCAGCTGGGTGATGAGAAAGGCCTCAGATTTCCTTGTGTTTGGGACTGGTCTCTTCAGTTTACATACAGGGATCGCCTGCTCTTCCACAACCCTCTGTACATTGGAAAGAGTGCACCCTGTGTACAGAATGGAGCCGTGAAGACTTTTAAACGCTCAAAGGTAACTATAGTGATGTCTGCCTTTGACTGGAGTGTTTCTGTGCTTAACCATAATGCTCTAACATTTACAGTTCCAGTGTTGCACACCCTTAGTTTAGCACTAGGAACACTAATTCTCTTAGCTTCCCAGCCTAAAGAAGCGATTTTCTGTGAAAGTAAAGATGTAAATTGTTGAGCCATGTGTTCCAGGACGTGTTCTGATACAGCTGAGCTCATTGCCAATGTCTGCATTCTTTCACCTGTGGAAAAGTGCTGATGTGCCACTTCTTTCCCCCAGGGATGTCAGTTTTTTCAGTGAACACTGATCAATTCAGTGATTCAGTGTTTTAGAAAGTCTAGAAAACAGATGTATTCCTATGCAGGGGCCACTGGTGGCCCCAGTGGTTGCCCCATGAGCTGTGCAGTAGTGACTCAGGCTCAGAACTGTGGAAAGGTCACATCGTTTCTCTGGATGGCACATCCTAGCAGCTCAGGGAAATCTGCTGTCCCAGAGAGCATAAACCTGGAGAATTACCAGTGTTTATTTTCTGCAGAAAAACTACAGCTCCACGTTGCGAGGTGCACCCCCAGCACTAAAGAACGGAATCATCGGTGAGCAAGAGTTCCTTCCAAGAAGAAACTCTCTGATACTAAAGCTGAAACCGGACTTTCTCCAGCACACAGAGAGTCCGACTAGCAGTATGGAACAGTACTTCAGAGACTGGTTTGCAAAGCCTGTTGATTTGCACGGTGTGATCCTACCCCGTGTCTCTGGAACACAAATAAAACTATGGAAACTCTGCTACTTCCGCTGGGTTCCTGAGGCCCAGATTAGTCGTGGTGGCTCCATCACTGCTTTCCACAAAGTGTCTTTGCTGGCAGATGAGGTAGACATGTTAAACCGCAGTCTTCGGCAGTACAAAAGCAACTCTTCTTTGCACAGCAGCTGCTTGGAACTGGATCAAAGCAGGATGTACTTCAGAGCAAACGGTTTAAATGACACCTCTGGGGCCCCAGACTTTCTCTCCTCCTCATTCCCATTTTCTCCTATAGGGAACCTCTGCAGACGGAGCATTCTGGGAACACCTTTAAGCAAATTTTTAAGTGGTGCCAAAATCTGGCTATCCACTGAGACGCTTGCAAACGAAGACTGAGATGTTGTGATGGTTTAAAGTTGTAGGGAAAATAGAGCCTATAACTTTGTCTTTTCTAAGTTAACACTGCTAAATGCGGCATTGAAAGCTGTAATAATTTTTCTATACAAATGTTACGTAAGTTTTGCACAGATATTTAAAAGCAAAGCAGTCATGCTTCAGATCGCACACGTTCATCTTCAGTAGCTGTCACCTGCTGGGGCTGCTGGTCCTGAATTCCTCTGTGGTTTTGTGGTTTGGTTCATTCTAAGTGGTGGAGCACTTCATTAGCTAACTGAAGGGCTTGGTATGGTCATGCATGAGGGTTCTGCTCAACAGATCTATTTTCTCAGATAGTGGCTGATGTGACTGTAGTGTCAACAGCTTGGCAGGTCAGAGTTCAGTGCAGGGGACACAGACTGACAGCTGAAACCTGGGAATAGACTGTTTTATCAGGCTGCCTCTTCAGGAAGAACACTTCCATGTGGACATACATACATACCCACTAACGTTCTGTGACTTGGTCACCCTACATAGGTCTTAATGCAGTGTGTATCCAGGGATTGTGCACTCTCTTCTCTTTCTCCCCCCAAAATGTATTCATTAACAATTACTCACATGTGTGGTCTTTCTCATGAGCTTGACTTTAGATTACAGGAATCAACTTCAGGGCGATGCACTGTTAACCTTAAAACATTTACTGTAGAGCTGGTATTGTAGTAGCTTTAGAAGTGCCTTTAATTGGGAGGAGACAGCAGCAAAGTTACTCTAATGCAGCTGACACCCCCCCAACTTTTTACAGTAGGTTGATAAGGTAAGTTTTTGTTCCATTGTTCCATCCCCCTACCCTTTTCTGGAAATACCAGAAGGGCAGATTCTCCAGCAAAATTTTCCTCTTAAAGGTTAAGCTCTTTTTTTATATAAGCACCTCCAATACTCGACATTATATCCCTGCCCACCCTCTCCTCATTCTGTGGTAGGACAAATATGCTTTCAGCAGGATTCATACTGAAGCCATGCTGGGTTCCAGGCAGGCTCCAGGTGGAGCTGTCCTGACTTGTAAGCAGGTGCTGGAGAAGAGTGGTTAGTGGTGCCTTCTTTTCGCATATGTGCATGTCCATATGGGCAAAGCAATGGGCAAGCACTGTTTGAGGGAATTAAGTCCAACAGCCTCCCTCTGCTTAATGCAGCAGCCTCGTCTTTGGTCTAAAACCTTTTACATAATACCTCACCCCTGGATGCAATGGCAGAAGACCCCTCATTTCACAGGGAGAAAAGCAAGAGTGTGAAGTATACTGGGGGGGGGGGGGTGGGGGTGGGGTGGACGTGGACCAGCAGTGCTGTATTTTTTGTACCTGATTCTGTGTAAACCACAAATGCTATTGAACCAACACTGAGCCACCATTCAGATGCTGACTCACAAGTTAAGGCACTGAGGACCCTACGTGATTAACTAGAAGCTGTTCTCAGCTATCGGGGGAAACAGAGGCTGTATGATGATAATGCACAGTATGTTAGAGTTAAGAAAAGGCAGGGAGGAGTAGGATGTGGAGCTCTTCCTTCGTACAACCAGACTGGTCTGCAGCACAGCCTAAATTGCAGTGTGGGATTTGGACATCTAAGATTGCTCAAGTCTTATTTTAGAGGATGTGCATCCGGAGTGGCCTCAGAGGTGGAAGCTTTGTGCTAGAGGAGCCCAGTGCCTGCGGGACTCTGCTCACCCAGGCTTCACACCTGCCCTGCAGAGCTGCAAGGCCACCAGGTTGGCAGGGGGTGAACAGCAGGTTCATGGGGAAGGGAAGGGGACAACTTCCTTATAAACCAGCCAACCCCCCAGATTTGTTCTCTATGCAAAACAGCCATGTGTGCACGTCTGCGTGTGGACACACACAGGTATGTTACAACATAATGCCAGGTTGGTTCTGATCAACTGCTTGCGAGGAAAAACCATGTATTCGCCTCAATCGCCTAATTATGCTGCAAGATGGTTTAGCATGTGAAATGGTCCACAAACCAGTTGCTCATTTACAAGCTTGCTGGAGCAGACATCTGTTTGTTCAAGTCATTATTCAACTGTTGGTATTAGTTTGCTTTTGTGATTTCTTTTCCCCCCATTAGCTTTCTGCATTCCCTGGCCCGATACTTGACTCGGAGACCTCAATGTGTGTGCTCAGTGGCTTTTGGTACCAAATTTTTCCTTTTTAAAATTACAGTTAAAAGTATGGAGTCTTTATTTTTTTCCCTCCTCCTTAAAAATAAAACTTTGGTTTAAAGGTACCAAAACTGTGTAAATAAACTGCTCCTCACAAGCAGCTGGTGGAATACAAGAGTAGAAAGAATGTTTATAGGCTAGTACCCTTTGGGAGGAAATGGGTACTGTATTGAAACAGGACTGTCTTTTGTAAGAGATTTCAGACATTTTTACATTTCAGTTCTAAGATGTGTACAGATGCTGCAGATGGTCTGTGTATTTTATATATAGAGTATGGGAGGGGGATAACAGTAATATGCCTTTATAATAAACAAAACCTGTCTGAATATCAATTTACCAAACAGACTTACAAAGAAATTTTACACAGTTCAGGAAGAGGAGTTTGAGGAGCAGAGGCCATGATGGCCACAAACAGGGTGGAGGGGATGGGACAGGGAGGATGGGGAGCTGTCTGCCTTGCCTTGGGAACGGGCACCAGATCGTGCTTCCCAGAGTCTGAGGCACTGCCCGTGCCTGTGTGTGTGGTTCTCCTCTGAACTTACTGACTTGTTTGAATTTACTTTTTGAAAGACAGGTACTAGCTGTTAATTCTCCAGTCTGCACAGTTGCCTTATCAATAGTCAGTAGGACTGCTCTGAACAAGTCTTCGGTAACTTTCAAAAGCAATTTTGGGGTGTATGTATCTTTACCTTCTCTGTACAGAGTAATTACACACAAATGTATATATATGTGTGTGTGTATATATGTACACATGTTCAAACTTTAATTTCTATTCACCATTTAAAGCAACATCCTGTTAATGCCATGCTGGTGTTGCAAGAGTAGAACAACTACAAGGAAGGTTCTTTCTTTTGTCTGTGTCTAGAACACGTGCACTATTTTGGCTGTTACTGGCTGTTCTATCATGACTTTTGTACTACACTGTAAACCACGTGGGGGGACACGGAACACTGATTAAGGTGTCCCTCCAGTGTCATTAATTACTGCAAGATAGAGCTAATTGTAGACTGCATCCTCATGGTAGTGCAGCTATTTTCACCATGTTCTGCCATGCATCAGAGACACTGCTTTCATTCCAGAAATGCATTGAAAAGTGTGTGTTGGTGTATGTATGCCCAGGCCTGAACATGTGTTCACTGTGCACTGCCTGCAATACCACTCTGAAATCAAATGCCTTGTATCTTTAATGAAATGTAGCAAGGGGGGCAAAGGTTTTGGCAAACTCTCAGATGGGAAAACATTTAAGACCAAAAAAATTCTAACAACTCGTATTTAAGCAAAGGACAAAATCTTAAATTTGCCTCTAACAAAGAGACAGAAATCTGTACCTCAACTCGCTCTAGGCAGTAGGTTCCTAATGCTGTTGCTGTGATGGTTTAGAGTTCACTATTTCAACTGAAACCTAAAACCTTTGTGCCTGATAATGTTTTATTGAGTAAAGTAGCAGTGCCAGGAAGATTATAAAATCCTGATGCTGACTTGTGAATGTGAATTAAATTAGACTAAATAAAAGTTCATACCTTTCCACAGTGAACTTCAGGCCATTTTTTTACTTCCTCTAACAAAAAAACAGTTGGGGGGTGTTTACTTTTTCCAAGAAAAGCAGGAACACTGTGCCCTAGGAAGAGGATTCATAGAAAAGCTGTGCAAATGATCTCAATTTTGCACTATGTTCTGTTACAGTGTCTGCTGTTTGTGTGGTAAGCAGAATTTCTGCTACCAGGAAAACAAACTCAGTATGAGTATGAAGAGTGCAGAGAGTTGGCCGTGTGTTAAACCTGAAACAAACCCACAGGATTGTGGTGTCTTAAAAGAGAACTGATCCTTTTGGTTCCGTTTCAGCTGACTGGCTTATTTCTGAATGAGGAAACACATCAATTCATGTGGGGCAAAACTGTAAACCAGTACCATGAGGTACAGGGGTGCAGTGGCCTTGCACTGAACAATTCCTGTCTACTACCAGAAATATCTCCCCTTTACACAGGAAATACAGATGTTCAGGGCAGAAGGGGCTGTTAAATACATAATCCTTTCATACAGAGCAGCACATTAAAACCGCGTTTAAGAAAAGAAAACCAGTGTTATGCCTTACTCCATGCCATCACTGACCAGCTCTATTTTTTATACTAAACTGACAAATTGAAATGCAGAATACAGAGCAGGGACAGCTGGAGAACAATGCTGGTCCTGACAGTCCTGGAAAGGCAGCTTGCACCTTGCAAGGGAACTTGGACAACACGATGAACAGATGATCAGGACTTGATGCAGCCCAAGTTGTGTTGTGGAGGATGTTCTTGGTGTGTGACTGAAGCTGTTTTTCTTGTTCCTGGGCAAACCCCCAGGTTACCTGTCACAGAGTTAGTTCTTAATAGTGAATAGAAGAGAAAGGCTTTGTTCCTCTGAACACAGTGACACAGAGTACTTACGTACAGTAAGTCACACTGACAGTCTCTGCTGTTTCCAGAATGTGTTGTACTAAACCCAACTACAGGAATGTTGCAAGAAACCAGATTTTCAGAAGAAACTACTTTTAATAAGCAGCAGCCAGTGGTGCGTGTGTGATGCCAGTTCCTTTAAAATCACCCAAGTTACCCAAGTGCTCCAGAGCTCTGTTACTACCCAAGGCGTTTACTCTTGCCTCCAGTGGCTTGCACATGACACACTTCTACTGTCGCACCCAGCTTCTTCAGTTCACTCAGCCACATTATCTGCTTGTGGGACAGGCGGTCATTGGGCCCCTTCACTTCCACCAGCTACAAAGGAATGTGGATGATTGGTTAGTACTGTGCCTGTGGAGGAACTAAAAGATCATTAACTCCTGCAGGTTTATGTAAGTACTCTTTTATGGCTGTTATTTGCAACAAAAATAATATAGATTTGGCACAACAGAAATCCCAGTGAGGCCTAAACTAACTATTAACCCATGTTCCAAAGTTTAACTGTAAGAATGAAATTTATATAGTAAATATCTGCCAAAACACAGACAAAGGCCCTGGTGAATGAAGATGGGATACCACATGTTCAAAAACTGATCCTCTGCAACCTCACCTGGTCCAGCTGATACTGACAAGCAACATAGATGTTCTAGAGAACTTAATTCCAGCTACTCAGCTCTGGCTTATAAATCCATGACAAGTTGCTCCAGTAGCTGAGATGCGCAGTAGTCTCCTGGTACCTGTTCCACTACCAGGCCAGACACAATCCACGACTGTTCGCTCAATTTCTGTGTCAGAGACACAGTTGTAGTCTCGTATATTCAAGATTCTATGTAAGTGGAGGCATGAGCACCCCTAGCTGACAGCAGCCAGAATGTCAATGACTGATGGATACAGGTGCTTTCAGCAATTTTAACTGACGTATTCTACAACAATACCTTGCCACCTCTTGTTTCTCATTATGCC